GACGCTGCCTGATGCCCTGGTCTTTCCTAGTAAGTAAGGTAGAATTCAATGACTACTTGGTTGAAAATGGACTTCGTAACAGTCCAAATCCGTGTTCATCCAATCCCAAAGTTAATAAAATGGCTTGGGGATTGGGTCTTAATTATTCCTCCTATTCTAAAATTTAACTAGAATCAATGTTTAAAGGAAATATTTGCCTTGTCTGAGATGAATAATAATGGAGTTTGTAGATTAACAATGGCATGCTAATTGTAAGGCCAAAGCTAGCCTTGAGCTGAAGAGCTGAGGGACAGGGCCCAGGCCCAGAGTTCAGGCCCCATGACAGGGCCCCTCTCCCCCCCCCCAAAAAAAAGAGTTATCCATTGAGTGTCTCCCATGGTGTGCTTTTGGAGCTTGGTCCTGACCTAATGGCTTCTTCATGGATGGTTGCTTTGTGTCAGTATACTATAAGTTGAATTACCTGCCCCTATTTCCTCTTCCATTCCTATCCTAAAAATTAATAGAACATTGTTTATTTGTCATTCCCTCAGATATAATAATCTTACAACTTACGATGTAATTCCTAACAATATCCTTCAAACAAATTATTTGAGAAGTTACTACCAACCCAATTTTAATTAATTTTCTGATCAATAGTGGGCATTAGGCCAGGCACCAGTGGCTCACACCTGTAATAAAAGCTACTCAGGAGGCTGAGATATGAGAATCATGGTTTGAAGCCAGCCTAGGCAGGAAAGTCCATGAGACTCTTACCTCCAATGAACTACTCAGAAAAAGCTGGAAGTGGTGCTATGGCTCAAGTGGTAGATTGCTAGCCTTGAGCAAAAGAAGCTCAGGGACAGTGCCCAGGCCCAGAGTTCAAGCCCCAGAACATACTGGACATTAGCTGAAACATACATTAAAAGCTATATCAGGGCTGCATAATTTGAGATTTCATGGATTATGGTTTATCTTCATCTTAGTTCAAAAATCCAGATATGAATCAAGTTTTATATTTGTCAAAGACTGGAGGTATTTCTGAAACCAAAAGATAGCTAGCTAAGCTTAATGTCATAGAATGAAATTCAGCATACTTGGAAAATGCAAATTTATGTGAATGACTATCTGAGCCTACAATCAAGGTCAAACCTTTAGGAAATAATTACCAGCTAAACTGTTATAAAAACAAAGTAGTGGGCTGGGAAGGTGGCTCAGTGGTAGAGCGCTTGCCTTGCATGCCTGAGGCCCTGGGTTTGGTTCCTCAGCACCACATAAGCAAAAAAAAAAGCTGGAAGTGGCACTGTGGCTCAAGTGGTAGAATGCTAGCCTTGAGCTGGAGAGCTGAGGGACAGCACCCAGGCCCAGAGTTCAGGCCCCATGACCGGACCCCCCCCCCAAAAAAAAAACAACAAAGTAGTGCTGGAAATTGTGTGTGTGTGTGTGTATGTGTGTGTGCACGCACCCACATGCATGCACACACTTGTGTCTACATGCCGTTACTGGGGCTTGAACTATAAAATCGTGCATTGTACCTTACCTGATTTTTTGTTTTGTTTTGTTTTGCTGCTCAAGACTAGAGCCATACAACTTGAACTACAGCTCTTCTTAGACTTTCCTGTTGGCTTCAAACCACAATCCTCCCATCTTAGCCTCTTGAGTAGCCAGGAATACAGGTGTGAGCCACCAGCACCCAAATGGAATTTCAAATTGTCTTCCCTGTTGAACTTAATGTCAAAATAACTTGTCTTAGGAAATTGTAACTGCATTTTCTTAAATGCAATACAATTTAAATTAATTGCAAGTTTTTTTCATATATAGACTAACCCTTCCCATCCTTCATGTATGAACTATCTCTGTAGTAAACAATGAGATAAGTGGCTTGAGTATGGACTAGTTTCTATTAGAAGTCAGGGTTTGAAATCTAAATTCTCCTATTCAGTCTTCAAATTCTCAAATTCTAATTTTCTTCAAAGGAGAGTGGCCTTTAAAATGAGTAATGTAGGGGCTAGGGGTATGGCTCAAGTGGTAGAGCACCATTCAAACAAGTGTAACATGTAAGCACAAGGCCTTGAGTTTAACCCCAACCCCAGTACCACCATTTAAAAAAAGTAGTTCGTGATTAATGTCATTTGAAAATATTGAGTTATCTTGGGCTGGGAAGGTAGCTCAGTGGTAGAGTGCTTGCCTTGCATGTATAAGGCCCTGGGTTTGATTCCTCAGCACCACATAAGCAGAAAAAAGCCAGAAGTGGCACTGTGGCTCAAGTGGTAGAGCGCTAGCCTTGAGCTGAAGAGCTGAGGGACAGTGCCCAGACCCAGAGTTCAGACTCCACGACCGGACCCCCTCCCCCCACACACACACAAAAAAGAAAATATTGAATTATCTTGATATATAGGGTATAGTTTTTTCAGTATGTACCATGATCCCCAATCTGCTGTTTAGCTATGGATTTCCTAAATAAATATGATTACTCTAACAGCTCTAATTTGGATTGACTTTGTATTTTGAATGGGACAACCTATGGGCAGAGACAGAAAAAACAGTAATGAAAGATCTGATTTTATACTTCCCTTGAGCTTCCTTCCTGTCCCCAGGAATAGTTTCTGGCACAGGGACCCACTTATTTGTCCAATGGTAACCTTGAACTCTTCCCCATGTCTTCCTGTCCTGCCTTCTCTGCTCCACACTATTTTAAGCTGGAAAATGACTGAATCAGAGAATTCCCAGCCATGCTCTCTCTGTCTTCATCTCATTTGTTGTGTGCTGGGCCTTTACAATGTTCTCCTAAGCCAATCTGTCCTTTGGCGACCTTGTTTTTGAAATCTCTGAGAAAAACACAGTAATAGTCCTGTCACCCACGCAACACCCATGTAGCAAGAACACTGCTGGCTTCAGCTCCTCCCTGCCTTTCTCCTTCCCTGGCTTAAATAATCAGGACATCTGAGTAACCATAAGCATGGCATGGAATGTTTCTTTGAAAAATGTCTGGCATTTCAGAGATTTCAGATAGGCTGTGGTGAAAAGTTATATGTTGCATGTTATAGCTCTGAAACTCTGCCTCATAATCTAGGTGTGAGATTTAATTTTTTTTAATTTGAAGATTTTGCTTTATTCCTAGCCCTTGTGGTGGCTGTTCTACGCTTCATACAACTGAAACCAAAGGTTTTAAACCCGTGGCTGAATATTAGTGGATTGGTGGCACTGTGTCTGGCTTCCTTTGGAATGACCTTACTTGGTAATTTTCAGGTACTTCATTTGGCCTTTTTCACCTTCCTCTCACTTTTGGTAAGGATTTCACTTGTGTGATTATCATAACCACTGAAGGATAGTCACTATGGCCCATAACATTTTGCATGAAGCTAGGCACTGGTGGCTCACACCTGTAATCCTAACTGTTCATAAGTCTGAGATCTGACGATCAAGGTTCGAAGCCAGCCCAGACAGACAAAAATCCGCAAGACTCCTAACTCTAGCTAGCCAACAGAAAGTCATATGTGGAGGTATGGCTCAAGCGGTAGAGCAAAAAAGCCAAGGAAGAGTGTGAGGCCCTGAGTTCAAGCCCCAGTACTGGCACTAAATAAATAAATTCTGCATGCACCTTCAAAACAATTAATAATTCCAGTTCCTAGTATGTACAGGTTCTCCCGCAGTTACCACAAGGATCCCGATCACATAAAATGGTCTATGGTGCATGTAGTATGGTGTGACTGTGGGGGAAAAAGCTATAATAGTTCCATGCTTTCTACAAAAGATTTCAAAGTGCTTTACACTTTTGTTTTTCAAAACAAATTGTATCCTGTTGTGCCTTTTTGGAAAACTAATGACATCATTGCTTATTTATCATTAAACACTGATCAAATAGCCTATTTGAGGAATGCTTGCATTTCAGATTAACAAGTTCACATGGAAGCCAAGCAAGAATTTCTCTAGAACACCTATGACTTGTATTAAAATATACAAACCTGCCGGGCGCTGGTGGCTCACGTCTGTAATCCTAGCTACGCAGGAGGCTGAGATCTGAGGATCATGGTTCAGAGCCAGCCCGGGCAGGAAAGTCCGTGATACTCTTATTTCCAATAAACCACCAGAAAACCAAAGTGGCACTGTGGCTCAAGTGGTAGAGCGCTCGCCTTGAGCTGAAGAGCTGAGGGACAGTGCCTAAGCCCAGAGTTCAAGCCCCATGACCAACCAAAAAAAAAAAAAACACATGTATACACACACACACACAACTTTCTCCTAGAAATTTAGAAGCCAGCAGTTACAACCTAGAAGAGTACATTCCCTTGTCAATACCATCACCCAACTCTGGTCCTGACTGACTTCATTTATTGCAGCAGTTTGACTTGCCTCCATTCCCCTGGTCCACACCAACCTCCAATGTGTGACATACGTTTACGGTTACTAACTTTCTCCTTTGTGAAAATACTGACCCCAACCTCCCTCTCCCACTACTATTGACTGAAATGCCCATGAATGTAGGACCCCAGCGTCTGCTAATGTTCTTACTAAAAATATGCCAGTAGATTTTCCAAGACCCTTTCTTGCCCTAATCCTTACCCTCGCTAACTCATTATCCAGGGCCACTTTTTCCCAAGACTTTCTCCTGGCTGCACACTAGCAACCAAGGTTTTGCTTGAATTATTTGACAGGCATTCCCACAAATTTCCTTTAACTATTCTAGAAGTTAGGCAAGCAGAAAGCCACATTCTTAGAACATGCTCATTAGGGTAGTGATTACCATGAGAATAGAGAGTTTATTCCAAAGCTATGAATGATGAAGAATAATGGTGAGACTACCTACAATTAGAATATAGAGGAATCAAATAACTAATTGCTTGTAGAGAGAGCAGGTGATGGATACATGGCATAAGAGACACACTTTTCAATCAATACTCTTTTTTTTTTTTCTTTTTGGGTCCGGTCGTGGGGCTTGAACTCTGGGCCTGGGTGCTGTCCCTCAGCTCTTCAGCTCAAGGCTAGTGCTCTACCACTTGAGCCACAGCGCCACTTCCGGCTTTCTTTTCTTTTTGCTTATGTGGTGCTGAGGAATCGAACCCAGGGCCTCAGGCATGCAAGTCAAGTGCTCTACCACTGAGCCAACTTCCCAGTCCCTCAATACTCTTTTTTAAACATATATTTAAAAAATTTTTTGAATCTTGTAACTATAAACTATTTTAATTGGTAAAAAAGTATTATTAGATAATGAAATAGATTGTATATAGCATGGAAAATTGTATGTATCTTAGTATTGGTATTTCTTTATGCGTGTGTGTGTGTGTGTGTGTGTGTGTGTGTGTGTGTGTGTGTGTGTGTGTGTGTGTATGCCAGTAACTGGACTTGGATTTGGGGCCCCCAGCTCTCACTCAACTTTCTCACTCACAGCTTGTGTTTTACTCCTTAAGCCATGCCTACAGCCTGGCATTTTGCTGCTTAATTGGAGCTGGAGTCTCTCAGATTTGTCTGCCTGGGCTGGCTTCAAACTTTGATCCTTAGATCTCAGCCTCCTAAGGAGCTAGGATTATAGGTATGAGCTACCAGAGCCTGGCTAAGCTATCTCTTTCCTGATTGTTCTTGTTTGTTTGTCCACATATTCCACTGACTTGCATCTCCTTTTCTAACTGAGCCTCCACATGCCATTTTCTGTTTGTCCCTAGCTCACGAATGATGAAGAAATCCATAATGTGGGAACCTCCTTGACCTTTGGGTTTGGCACATTGACCTGCTGGATCCAGGCTGCACTGACACTCAAAGTCAACATCAAGAATGAAGGACGGAAAGCTGGGATTCCACGAGTTATCCTCTCAGCATCTATCACTCTCTGTGTAGTCCTCTGTATCCTTTAAATGGGAAAAGGTTCTTTGACGGTGAGATCAAAACACAGGAAAACTGTCTATATATTACATGAGATAATTGTTATTCCCAGTGGGTTAGCATAATCCTTGGATCATCTTAAGGTAAAGCACAAAAGTAAACAAGTATAAGGCCGAAAGCTCTCAGACTAGTTGTTCATGCCCAAGAACTAAATGTAAAATAAGCTCTGCCTAAGCAAAAAAGAATTTTAGCTGGGTACCTGTATTCCAAGCTACTCAGAAGGCTGAGTGAGACCTGGAGGATCATGATTCAAGATCAGTCCAGGCAGAAAAGTTCATGAGACTCTATCTCCACTTAAGCAACAAAAAGCTGGACTGGAGGCTTGCCTCAACTGATAGAGCATCAGCCAAGCAAGCTGAGAAAGGAATAAGTACAAGACCTCTGAGTTCAAGCCCCAGTAATGGTCAAAAAAATCAACATTGACAACAAAAATACCTGGGATTTTTTTCCTCCACCTAAAATAATTGTATTAGTGACTTAAATCCTGTTATGTCATTTAATTTAATAGCGCTAAAGCAGGGCTGGGAAGGTGGCTCAGTGGTAGAGCGCTTGCCTTGCATGCCTCAGGCCCTGGGTTTGATTCCTCAGCACCACGTAAGAAAGAAGAAAAAAGCCGGAAGTGGTGCTGTGGCTCAAGTGGTAGAGCACTAGCCTTGAGCTGAAGAGCTGAGGGACAGCACCCAGGCCCAGAGTTCAGGCCCCATGACCGGACCCCCCCAAAAAAATAGCTCTAAAGTAAGTTTCAAGGGACAAGGATGTCTACATCTTTTAGGAAAGTAAGCTTATGGGGGGAAAAATTTAAGAACTAGATGCTCTGTCCTAAACAAATACTTGGGGTTGGGGTGCTATTCATTTCCTTTCCTTGGTTCTCTGAGTTTGAAGCACTGAAAACAGACACAAGGAGCCAGATGAGTATGAAGAAATCAGCTTTTCATCCCACTAAATTTGGAAAGAAAGTGCTTAAGGTCTCTCCCTTATACCCTGGAGTTCAATTTAGCCACCCAGTAACACGCAAAGAAATCTGGGAAAGCAAGAGAGCACTCTACTTCTCTTATCTTTAGGCAAAGCCCACAGAGATAGAGTAGTTAGTATGGACCACAGCAACACCGTAGCTCAGTACAGCTTACCAGTTCTCTTCCTAGCAGAGTAGTAATCAGAACAGGTTCCTTCCAGGAAACCACAGAAAAGGAGAAATGAGTTTTACTGTTTGTTTTACCTTGCTTTGAGAAATCCCTTTGCTTTTTTTCTTTGTTAGTTATTTGAAATAAGGTTCTTAAATCTATAGCTAATTCAATTACATCTATTGAATCATAGTAATTAGCAATGTTTACCAAGGACTTAAAAAACATATGTTAAGAACTTAATTCTTGGGGCTGGGAAGGTGGCTCAGTGGTAGAGCTCTTGCCTTGCATGCATGATGCCCTGGGTTCGATTCCTCCGCACCACATAGGCAAAAAGAAAAAAGCCAGAAGTGGCGCTGTGGCTCAAGTGGTAGAGCGCTAGCCTTGAGCTGAAGAGCTGAGGGACAGCGCCCAGGCCCAGAGTTCAGGCCCACAACCGGATCCCCCCCCCCCAAAAGGAACTTAATTCTTAATAATTTATTCTAAGCCCTTTAATTATCGATTTTTCCCTTCCTTCCTCCCTCCCTCC